CAAGATTTAATGAAATTAGGAACTCCCTCCCTTTTAAACTTACTGTGAGTAAGGTTAAAAAATAGGACTACTAGTACATATTGATTATACTACTTTGATCTTTGTTCTAATGGGCCAGTGGTTTTATGCTCCCTTCACCTTTGCACCGTAATTGCAGATGAAAAAAGTAAATAACTTCCTTGCATTCTTATGAAAATAGTTTTAATTTTATGGACTGCTGCATAGGGTCTTGAGGAATACCAGGAATCCAGAGTTCACAGTTTGAGAACTATTGTTATAGACCTTAGGAGGATGACTTGATTTAAATTGTGGGAAAGGTATTGGGGAAGGTATCTCTGAGGAACAGATTATTTATTTATTTATTTATTTATTTATTTATTTATTTTGAGACGGAGTCTTGCTCTGTCGCCCAGGCTGGAGTGCAGTGGTGCAATCTCGGCTCACTGTAACCTCCACCTCCTGGGTTCAAACGATTCTCCTGCCTCAGCCTCCTGAGTAGCTGGGACCATGCCTGGCTAATTTTTTGTATTTTTAGTAGAGATGGGGTTTCACCGTGTTAGCCAGGATTGTCTCGATCTCCTGACCTCGTGATCCACCTGCCTCGGCCTCCCAAAGTGTTGGGATTTCAGGCGTGAGCCACCGCACCCGACCGAGGAACACATTTTTTAAGCCAGGCTAGCCAAGCAAAGGGGAACAAAAGCATGGGTTTAAAAAGTTTGAAGTAGGCAAAGTTGTTGGTGTTATCAAGGAACTGCAGGAAGACCAGTATGCATAAAATATTATGACCAAGGTGAGCAAGAGTAATAGCTAATTTGCTAGTGCGTTTGAGAGTGCAGAGCCCATTTCAAGGATTCTAGATTTTATCCTGTGACCATGAAATGCCATGAAAGGCTTTAAGCAAGGGAAGTGATATGATCTATGTTTCCAGAAAATGACTTTGACTGTTTAAGGAATTTAAAAAATGATACATTTTAGTTCTTTTCCATATTGGTAGTTGACTATTATTAAAACTCTAAAATCTCAGAATTCAGGATGTACTTAGGTAGTAGTAACTTGATTTTGATACGTATTTTTCAGAAAGCCTTGCAGGACAGAAAAAGAGAGCAAAAAGATATGCTTTTTGGGGCCAAATGACATTTTTTTCTTTGGTTAAAATGTCTTCACTTCCTGTGAAACACCTTTACAAAATTACTTATGTTCCATTATTTGGACTAAGTAGCTGAATAAACAGTCATGAGGGTACACACTCAGGCGGCTTATACATTGGGTGCACAGACTACATTCATCGTTGCAACTCCACAAATGTGAACTCTTTATTATAGCTATTATATATGAAGTGCATTTATTTCTAAGAGAATGCCTACTGATCTTGCCCCTCCCCCCCATTTTTTCATATTAAAGGCTTTTTTTTTAACCTGTGTATCAACAATGATGATGTGCTAATATTGAAAAGTTACACCTTTAAAGACAAAGCACCTTGCAGTCAAATAACGGGAGAGAAAGTGGCATTGCTTCTAATGCCTCTTTTATTTATTTCTCTTCAAAATATTCCTGTGACCTTGGTGTTTATGGATCTAGCATTCTAACAAAGAAAATGCATGAACTTCAATGTACACTATTCATTTTCTTTTGTTAGCATTTAGCTAACAAAGAGACCCATTTTGAGATTACTACAAGTTTAAATGCCCCATTTTACTTTCCTTTCAATGACATTTAGCTTTTTCTGGTTTTGTTTTTGGATATATTGCTTTTAAGGGTTTTATATTGAGGGGACTTAAACATTTTTTTTCTTATTACTTCTTTTAATCAAATATGGAACTTCACTTGGCTATTGGCGAGTTTTCTACCAAATCAGAAAGAATCTGTAGAGTACACAGTTGGTTAATTGAGATTGGTGGGGCTCTTTTTCCATCATCTAGATTGGGGCAGACAAAAAGGCAAACAAGGAAAGTAGTCAGGTATCAGAAGAGTTAATTAGGTTTCTGGCAGACCTCTGTTGTTTATTTCTGGAGCAGTGTATCTTTTGGCTATTGTTAGAACCTTATTACACTTAGGAAATTTATGTATGCCTTGAATATAGATTATTTTAAAAATCACTTCATATTTTGTGTTTTAGATTTTCCACGAGTGCTCTGATGTTAAATATTCTTTCTGTCTGCCTTTTCATATATTTCTCAATCAGAAAAATGCCCTTTCTCATTATTTGATTCTTGGTTCATGTACTACCTGGCCCTAGTCAGGTTACCTAAACATTTCTGAATTACCATTGTCTATAGCCCATATTAGCCTTTAATTTAAAAAAAAGTGTCATATTATTTATTTATGTGCTGTTAAGATAGGTGACCAGAGTGCTATCTTTTAGTTTTCTTCATTTAGAAATCTATAGATTTGACTTTTTTTTTTGAAATGGTTCTTGAATTGATGATAGAGGTGGTGACAAGAAGTGAGGATTAGCAGTGCTAATAACATAATGAAGGAAGAGAGGTAGAAAGAAAGATTCTGTCTTCTATAAGGAACTTAAATTAATGAGCAAAAAGCAGTCTAGTTAAAAAGAGGGCAAAGGACATGAACAGACTCTTTTCAAAAGAAGATACATACGTGGCCAACAAGCATACAAAAAAATTCTCATAATCAGTAATCACTAGAGAGATACAAATCAAAACCACAATGAGATACCGCCTGATAATAGTCAGAGTGGCTATTATTGATAAGTCAAAAATTAACAGATGCTGGCAAGGTTGTGGAGGAAAAGAAATGTTTATACATTGTTGGTAGTAGTGTAAATTCGTTTAGTCATTGTGGAAAACAGTGTGGCGATTTCTCAAAGAACTTAAACCAGAAGTAACTCTGGACCCAGCAGTCCCATTATTGAATATGTACCTGAAGGAATGTAAATTGTTCTGCCATAAAGACACATGCACACGTGTGTTCATTGCAGCACTGTTCTCAATAGTAAAGACGTGGAATCAACATAAATGCCCATCAGTGGTAGACTAGATAAAGAAAATGTGGTACATATGTCCACTATGTAATATTACACAGCTCTGTAAAAGAATGAGATCATATCCTTTGCAGCAACATGGAGCTAGACACCATTATCCTAAGCAAACTCCCACAGGAACAGAAAATCAAATACTGTGTGTTCTCTCAAGTAGGAGCTAAATATTGAGAACATACGGACATAAAGAAGGGAACAACAGACACTGAGACCTACTTGAGGCTAGAAGGTGGGAGAAGGATGAGGATAAAAAAACTACTTATGGAATACTAGGTTTATTACCTGGGTGTCCAAATAATCTGTACACCAAACCGTGGCAACATGTAATTTACCTGTATTACAAACCCATACAGGTACCCTTGAACTTAAAGTAAAAGTTAAAGAAAAGGATAATCTGCTTCTGACCAGAAATGGCCTGTGGATGAATGTTTGCTGTGTGTGCTGTCTTAAGGAGGTTCTGGGACTCTAAACTGAGAATCACTTATCCACAACTTACTTTGTTTTTTTTTTTCATAGCAGAATGACTTAGTATGCACAACTTTATCTCCTCCCTCCCTCCCTGCAATATATGAAGTAATATATAACCAATAATTGGTTAATTTTCTTAGCTGTAATAGAATTTTATGAGAATAAATATATTGCTAAAGCACACTTTCCCTGGCCTGCAAATTTTTGATACAAAAGAACTAGCTCATCTCTCAGCTTTTGTTCATTAATTGAGCAATCAGTAATACTTTTCTAGCTACATAGCATATCATATATTTTCTTCAAATAGTTTTGACTTTATGAGTCTGGAAGTTTTGTATGTGATGTGGGAAGGTTGGTTCATGTGAACATTGGAGAACAGAGAAGATTGATAGCTTTGGAATTCAGATTGTAGGGCAGGTTTGGATATTTGACTTAATGAGAGGAAATTAACATTACTCTTGATGTCAAGATAAAGAGATTGTACAGATTTAAGCTACACTTTAGCTCAGTTCTTTTCTTTAGACTACAGTGCAAATAACACGTAATCTAGTTTCTTTGTTTTTGAGAATGACTTCTACTTGAATGGGAGTAGAGAAAGCTTGTTGTATAGAATTCTTTTCAACAAGATGCCTTTTTCACCCTACCATGGAGGAAATATGGAAATAGCTTTATCAGAGTGCCTTTTTATAGTGGGTATTTTGTATAGGTATTTAGAATTTTATGCTATTATGTATTTTTATTAAAATCATGGTGGATCTTAGAAGTTTATTTTAGAATGTGTTAGAATTTTGAAATTTTAATAGCTTAAATGTGTAAAATCCAGTTAATAAAATACAGCTTCTGAAAACCTGTTGTATCCTTGTCATTGTGCATACAGAGATTATTTTATGTCTTAGTGGTTTGGTTTACTGTATTAATTAATAGCTGGTATTTCCAAGTACTGAATATGATTCTTTTAAAGGCCATCTAACAAAGACAGAAATAAGGAATTGAACTTAACTGAGGAGCAAGTCATTATTAGGTGTATTAGTTTGCTAGGGCTGTCATAATAAAATACCACAGATTGGGTGGTTTAAACAACACAAATTTATTTTTTAACAATTCTGGAAGCTTGAAGTTCAATATCAAGTTTGTCAGGGTTGGTTTCTCCTGAGGCCTTTCTCCTTGGCCTGTTATAGATGGCCGCCCTCTTGTTGCCCCTTCTGACATGATCATATCTCTGTGCAGGCATACTTCTGATGTCTCTTTTTCCTATAAGGACACCAGACTTATTGGATTAGGTCCCCACCCTAATGGCCTCATTTGAACTTAATCGCCTCTTTGAAGACCTTATCTCTAAATAGCATTACAGTCTGTGCTACTGGGGATTGGTTCTTCAACATGTGAATTTTGGAGGGGAACACAGTTCAGCCATTAACAGTTGGTAATTAAGAAGGAAAACAAGTGGTTTGTAAGAATTGCTTTTTTCTCTTTTATTTAATAAGGTTTGTGTAGAAGTGCAATTGTTCCGTGTTTTTTGTTGTGTATCTCCTAGCCGGAGAATTTTCATCCTTGGGCCTTCTCATCATGTGCCCCTCTCTCGATGTGCACTTTCCAGTGTGGATATATATAGGACACCACTGTATGACCTTCGTATTGACCAAAAGAGTAAGTATATAGAAATACCTTTCAAATAGCTAATGTTCTTTTAATAGGACTTGGAAGTTAATTTAAAAACTTATAAATGTGAGCATCACAAATAATATCTCAATATTTAAAATAAAATTTGTTATAACTAATCTGCATAAAACAGCAAAAAAAGAAACTCTTCCATATCCCTAAAAGGCAACTAGTGTTTTTCAGCTAGCTACAGAAATCTGTCAGATCCGCCAGTGTGCAGATTGTAGTGGTTACATTAATATTCAGAAAAATGCCATGTACTCAGTGTACCAGGAGACAAAAAATTAGTACCCATACCAATTTCATGAAAGATTCTGGGTGTGTTAATCTACTTCTACGAAATGCCACTTTCTCACTGTAAATAGATGATGCTGATAATATCTTTATTTTCTTGTAAATGATTTTTATGGGAAAAAATGAGCCTTTATGAAACTCTGAAAGAAACGTGCTATATAAATGATAAATATATTTTATTTTTAAACATGCCTACAGTTAAGATTGATTTATATTTTTCCATAGGAGTCCAGAGTCACATTTTTATTTAGTTGTTCTTACACAATAGATGTATAAAGTAAAAACCTTTTGATTTTATAAAGGTATTTTTTTGGGGGGGAGGAGTAATTTAAAAAATACAGAACAGTATAAAGAGTAGTATAAGAAATTAACTGATGTACTTAACATACATAATTTACTCAGTTTCTCACTCATCCTGAACCCAATTTACCTTCCCAGAAGTAACCACCTTCATAATCTGGGTATATATCCTTTCAGTTGGTCAAATTGTTCACACACATGCACGCACACACACGTATATATATGTACACACACACACACTGACCCATATATATATTTATTTTTGATTTTAGAGATGGGATCTCACTCTGTTGCCCAGGCTGGAGTGCAGTGGCATGATTATAGTTCACTGCAGCCTCAAACTCCTGGGCTCAAGTGATCCTCCTACCTCAGCCTCCCAAGTAGCTAGAACTACAGGCACACATCACCACACCCAATTTATTAAAAAATTTTTTTTGTAGAGGTAGGGTCTTGCTATGTTGCCCAGGCTGATCTTGAACTCCTGGTCTCAAGCAATTCTCCTGTCTTGGCTTCCCGAAGTGCTGGGTTTATAGGTGTGAGCCACTGTACCTGGCCTCAAATTATGTTTTTAAGCATGTTAGGGGTGCTATTGTTTCAAAATATTTTGCAAAAATTTCTTGTATAGAATAAAAGAGTCGAAGCCTAGTGTGGTGGTTCATGTCTGAAATCCCAGCACTTTGGGAGGCTGAGATGGGCAGACTGCTTGAGCTCAGGAGTTTGAGACCAGTCTGGGCAATGTAGCAAAACCCCGTCTGTACAAAAAAATACAAAAATCTGCTGGGCGTGGTGGCACGTGGCTGTAGTCTCGGCCACCTGGTTGGGAGAGGGCGTGGGGCAGTGAGGTAGGAGGATGGCTTGAGCTCAGGAGGTAGAGGTTGCAGTGAGCTGAAATCATGTTGCTATACTCCAGCATGGCCTGGGTGACAGAGTGAAGCCCTGTCTCCAAAATTAAATAAATTAATATGAAAATAAATAAAATAATAAAAGAGTCCATTTGCAAGAAAAAATTCTTTTTTCTTATTTTTGGCATAAGTTTTCATAATTTGGGGCTTTAGGTATCATAGAATATTAGCAATTTTTTAGTGCATCTTATTAATGAAACGACTATTTCTAACCTTACTTCCTGAGATGTTTTAGGGAACACATTTTACTTTTAAAACCTTTTTGGGGCATTCAGAAAATTTTAATTTTGGATAGCTTGCCAGTGAAGAAATGGAGAATTTTTTCAAGAAAAGAGGTCATACAACCATTTCTTTCTGTCTTTGGTATAGGTAAACCCATTTGAGGATTTGTTCTATTCTATGCTAAAAATATTATTATATATATTTTTTACACATTAACTTTTATCTTTTTCTTGTTCTACAATATTCAGTTTTAAGTATAGTTCATCAGAAGGGCCTGAATTACTAGTCTTTTTAAGTTGGGATGGTATTGTGGCAAATTTATATTTTGATCTATCTTACAAGCTTAATTTTGAATTTTCAGGAAAATAGCATTAGTGAGAATTTTCTCTTCTTGGTATGGCAGAAACCTGAGGTGTGAAATAATACCACACGTTTTATTAAAAAAACTCAGAAACTATGCTTTTGACCTCATGAGTTAAATAGACCAATGGTTTTTCCATATTTCAGTAGGAATTCTAATTATGTTCTTGCTAGCATGTACTGATTAAAGCCAAGGAAAAGCCTAGACCCAAAGGTGATTTTAGAAATAATGAAAGGAACTGATGAAGAGTTTAAATGATCATTTTTTATTTAACTATGTAACATATGCAAATGATGAGTAAGTCTTTACATGTATTACTGTTTTACCTGTTACATAAAAACTAGTTCTGTTTTTTTCTCTTTCTCCTTACTCTCCCTCCTTTCTTTCCTTTCTTTCTATTGTTTTGTTTTAATAAAAATGCGAGTATTATATGGTGTTTCTGTCTCTTGCCAAAGCATGTAGTTTTGTGTTACTGGGTGGAATCTCACTGGATAAGGATATGCATTAATATATTTGTTTTACTGTATTTTGAAATCTCTTTAGTTTACGGAGAACTATGGAAGACAGGAATGTTTGAACGCATGTCTCTGCAGACAGATGAAGATGAACACAGTATTGAAATGCATTTGCCTTATACAGCTAAAGCCATGGAAAGGTATATTGATTGATATAAGAAATCCCCAGGAAATCATAGACATTAATTTCTTTGGTAATTTAAAACTAGTAAATCCCAATAATTATCAGGGTAAAGAGATTAATAAATGAGATAAAAAATTGAGACAGGAGTGTCTTAAGGTGGATTGTTGGTTTTGAGTAGTTTTCCTGCGAAGACTGAACATGTGAATTGACATGATTGTTTTATTAGGTGGAAGTATTAAAAAAACCATGGGTATGTGAGTGTATGTGGGTATGTATATATCTTGCTTTGCTTGTATTTTATTCATTCGACATTTCTTTATCTCAAAATAATAATTCCGTTCTTTTCTGGTACAATGCTATAATTAATCGTAAAATTTTAGGCTTGTATTTAATTTTGGAGGTCATTTATTTCAACCTTGTGCAAGGTACATGAATCTCTTTTATGGTATGCTTGACAGACTGTTAGGTGGTACCTGCTAAAGGTCTTCCTGTGATGGGGGTACTCACTGTACTGTGAGCTGAACGAGGACAGGGTCAATATCTGTTTTGTTCTCTACTGTATACCCTACCACCTAGCACAGTGTCCAGCACATAGTAGTTATTAATGTATTTTGATAAAATAAAAAATAATTATTTCAAGGATTTTCTCCTTTTAGTGAAACATTTGGATTAGGATGTCTTCTCTTTTGTAGGTTTCTCTAATTTTTAAAACCATTTCCTATATATGGACTTAATATTTCATATTTAGTTTGGCAGTTCTAAGTATAGTAAGATGATTCCTTCTGGATTTGTTCATTATATTTTCTTACTAAAGTACATGATGCTCTGTAGGCTCTCAGTAAATATTAATTAAATGTACTAATAAAGTCTAAGTTAACATTATATTTTTTATGTTGATGTGGCTTACTGTTGGCTAATGTACTTGTGATCAACCAAAGCCCAAGGCCTTTTCATAATATTCAGATGGATTATTTTCTGTTCTCAGACTTTTGTGTGATTTCTTTTTGTATGTCTTCTCAATTATTCTAAATATGTATGTCTTCTCAATTATTGCTGTTTAGTTTTTCTTGTTTAGTTCATTGTTGCAGTCTTTTTGGATTGTTTCCACTCTTACTCTGTATTCAAAGTATTATTTACTTTTCTCAGTCTTTTGTCTGCTTCTGCTCACAATGATAACCGTGAGGAATTATATAAATCTGAAGAATTTTCAAAAATCAGTGTGATACTACATTATAAGCAATATAATTTTAGGGTTTTTAATACATTCTAATTCTTCAGAAATGTGAAACCATATGTATTATTTCTTAAATTGTTGTAATCAGAACTTTCTCTTCTTCAACTGGAAAAGATAATTGAATATTTTTATTCACTGAGATGTTTGCATATTTTGTCATGAGAAAATATAATTTAGACTTAATAAATACTAATACTTCGGGTGCAGTGGCACATGTCTGTAATTCCAGCAGCACTTTGGGAGGCTGAGGTGGGCAGATAACTTGAGCCCAGAAGTTCAAGACCAGCCTGGGCAATGTGGCAAAACTCTTGTCTCTACTAAAAATAGAAAAATTAGCCATGTGTAATGTCGGGTACTTGTTGTCCCAGCTACTTGGGAGGCTGGGGTGGGATGATTGCTTGAGCCTGGCTGGTTGAGAGTGCAGTGAGCCGAGATTATGGCACTGCACTCCAGCCTAGGTGACAGAGTGAGACCCTGTCTCAAACAAACAAACCCAAAAAACAAAGGACCGATAAACTGACAACAATATCCTCAAGGAGGTTATAACAAGATAACATTTTTATTGTTATTTTAAAAGTAAAACATGTACATTGTGAAACATTTAGGAAAATAGAAACTTAAACCCAGCAAACCAAGTTCCTACTTATAATTCCCCCTTTTAAATAGTATCAAATAAACTACTGCCACATAACATTAGGATCCCTATTATTGACCCTTCTTTTCTTTGTAGCGTTAGTTGGACTCATTACCTATGTCAGTTATTTATTACTAAGTAACAAAACTCTTACTTAAAATTACCTATATCAGTTATCTTTTACTAACTAACAGATTTAAACTGTGACTTAAAATCACAGCTGTTTATTGCCTAAAATTTGGGGGTCAGGAATTGGGGCAGGGAACACCTTGCTCTGGTCCACAAGACACTGACTGAGGTGGCTCAAATGGGGCTACAGTATCTCAGATAGTGTCACTCATATGTCTTGGGCCTTAGTGCTAGCTCTCTGTTGAGACCCCTCATTTCTTCTCCAGCTGACCTGTTTGTTCATCAAGTAGGGCTTTTTTTTTGGGGGGGGCGGGGGCTACTCTCTAGAAGAATAGCTTAGACTTCCTTTTTTCTTCTTCTTTTTTTGGATCAAGAGAGTAAAACCAGAAGTTTCTAGGCCTATTATGTCCTAGGCTGGAAACTACATAGCACATTTCCAGTGAATTGTGTTTTTCAAAGCAAATAAGATCACTGTGTCAGCCAAGATTTGAGGAAAAGAGCAATATATTGCTCCTGTTGATGGGAGGAGTAGCATGTGTGTACAGGAATAAGAGAAACTGTTGACAGCTGTCTTTGCTGATGGTCTACTACAGTTCTTCCTCTGGTGGACAATTCGTGTCTCTCTAACATGTCATATACACCCAGGCTTCTCAGGACGTTCAGAAATCTTATTTGCTGTGACCCTAGGCTCAAAATTTATTATCTTATGATCTCCATCAAGTTAGGATGTGAATGAGGCTCCTTGAGTGTGGTTCATCTTTTTTTGGAGGGGGGATGTGGGGGGGAAAGATTCTCAGCTCTGTTGCCCAGGCTGGAGTGCAGTGGCATGATCATGGCTCACTGCAGCCTCTGCCTCCTGGTCTCAAGTAGTCTTCCCACCTTGGCCTCCCAAAGCAATGGGATTACAGGCTTGAGCCACTGTGCTTGGCCTCTTTTTTTTTTTTTTTAAAGAGGCAGGGCCTCATTCTGTCACCCAGGCTGGAGTGCAGTGGCACAATTATAACTCACTGTAGCCTTGAACTCCTGGGCTCAAGGGATCTTCCTACCTCAGCTTTCAGAGTAGTGGCCCTACAGGTACGTACTACCATATCTGGCTAATTTTAAAAACATTTTTTTAGAGACGGGTCTTACGTTATTCCTCAGGCTGATCTTGAACTCCTGGCCTCAAGCGAGCTTCTTGCTTCTGTCTCCCAAGTAATGTCTTAGTTACGTATTGCAGCATAACAAATCACCTCAATGTATTTTTTTTTTTTTTTTAATCAAAAACAAACTTTTGATTTTTTGGGTGCATGGTGTATAGATGGGGTACATGAGAAGTTTTGATACAGTCATGCGGTGTAAAATAATCACATCATGGAGAATGGGGTATTAATCACTTAAAGCATTTATCCTTAGTGTTACAGGCAATCCAGTTATATTCTTTTAGTTACTTAAAAATGTACAATTGAGTTATCGACTATAGTCACCCTGTTGTGCTACCAAATACTAGGTCTTATTCATTCTATTTTATTTTGTATCCGTTAACCATCCCCACCTACCCTCTAGCCCTCCACTATTCTTTCCAGTCTCTGGTAACCATCCTTCTACTCTCCATGTCTGTGAATTCAATCGTTTTGATTTTTAGGTCCCACAAATGTGTAGTTTTTCACTTAAATGATTGTATAGTTTGGAAATTTGGTTGGGTTAGTGGAGACAATTTGTCTCTGTTTCATCTACTACCAGTTGAGGCAGGTCGACGTAGGCTAAAGACTCCAAGATGCCCTAGCTTCCTCTCTGGGGCCGTGGTGCTGGTTGTCTTCTTGAGGCACATCAGTTTTCATCTTGGTTCTCTTCTGTCAGTGCCTGTTTACACTCACCCTTCAGGACTTCTCAGTTCACATGGTGAATCCTCTCTAGCAGGATAGCAATTGAGCAAAATAAGAAATTTCCAGCTCTCTTAATATCGAAGTCTAGAACTGGCACAGCATCACTTATGCCTCATTCTGCTGGCCAAAGCGCATCATAAGGCTAAATTCAAGGAGAGGGAACTACGGATGCTACTTTTGATGGGAGGAGTGACATTGAGAATTGAGATGTGGAAAGAATTTTTGGTGATTAGATTTATAGAAACTGTGGTTAAGTAGTTGAGGGATTATTTGTATATAAGTCTGTGTCCCTTCCATAGTAGTTCCATAGTGTTTTCTCCCAGGAGCAGCTAGTCTTCAGTGTATCTGCTATGCATTGCACAGTACCTGGTACACAAAAATATTTCAATAATTGTTGAATGAATTAATAACTGTCTTGCCATTTTCAATACTTTGTTTTTCCAAAAAGTGGATCAAATGTTCTTTTTAAAAAAGAAATTACATTTTTTTAATTTTCAAAAAATAAACTCTTGATCATCTTTGGCTACAAATATTCTTTTTTTAAACTGCTTTTCTTGTCATGAAGGTATTTTCCTGTCATTTTTTTACTTCAGTTTATTGGCTATACATAAGACTTTCTAGGCAAAGATGCTTGTAATACTTCAATCAATTCTTGACCATTTAACTTTTAAGCTTTCCCCCCATTTTTCACTATTATAAACCACATTATGTATTTAAAAAAAAATAGATGTCTAAGGTATTATTTAAATTTCTGCTTTTTTTTTTTTTTTTTTTTTTGAGGTAGAGTCTTGCTCTGTCACCAGGCTGGAGTGCAGTGGCATGATCTTGGCTCACTGCAACCTCTGCCTCCTGGATTCAAGTGATTCTCCTGCCTCAGCCTCCCGAGTAGCTGGGATTACAGGCGCCTGCCACCATGCCCAGCTAATTTTTGTATTTTTAGTAGAGAAGGTGTTTCACCATGTTGGCCAAGATGGTCTCCGTCTCTTGACCTCGTGATCTGCCCGCCTCGGCCTCCCAAAGTGCTGGGATTACAGGCATGAGCCACCGCGCCTGGCTGCATGTTTGTAATAGATTTAAAAATTATATTCATTAGAGCTTTTTAAAAAAATAGTAGTCTAAAGGAGAAAACATAAAATGACTCACAATCTCATTGC